ATTTTTGTCTTCGCCCTTGCAAGTTTCAGTTACTTCCATAGGTTTCTTGAAACTCTCACGATTTGAATGATGTACCAGCTGCGTTCGCCTGGGCTCTGTCACGTGACGAGAACCAGCTGTCTTCCAATGAAGGACCAGCGGCTCATTTGGTCGAAGCGTTGATGTACAGAGCTTTTCATTTTTGGGAATTTGGACGGATATCGCATGGCTGTTGTAGTTGACATTCCGTAGGCTTTCCGTATCCGACCGCCATCTGCTCTCATTCTCTTCCTCCGCCTCCTCACTAAGTTCCTCCTCTGTAGAGTCGGCACCGAATGAGCTACCAGGAGGCTGATGCAACCTACCAGCTGAAGGCGTTGGCGTACTCTTTGCATGCGGTGCGAACGTAATGTGCTGTTTTTGCGGCTGCCAACTCTCCCATCGACTAACAGTACCCCCCGCATCAGAGACCATGGTGTTGATCCGATGCTGACTTCTACTCAAGTTTCCAGTGTTGTGGACCTCTGATCGACAGTTCAAATTACATTCGGACTTGCTTGGGCAGGCAAGCGGTTCGCAAACCGTACGTGGTTGGGTAAATCTTCCGAGCAGATGGCTGCGATTGGAACCTACTGCTTTGGGATTGTCACGTCTGCCGCAAATAAAATGACAGCAGCAACATCGAACGGGATTTATGGTCCGATTTCGTGTGGAAAAATTATCAAAGACATTATGTCTAGCCCTGCAGAGATCGCATGTCGGGGTGGGATTGCAACAACAATGGACGTAAGGATGGTAATTCCCTCTGTCTGCCCTTTGGCCTTCTGACTGCGTGTGAAGTTCGCTGAACGAACCAGATTCACCGTCGTCTTCGGGGTAATCGCTCTGAGTAGAAGTGTCCTGCTCGTAGAACTAAAATAGACAGAAAGATTTAGGGCTGGGCTAGTTAGCAACCAAGAATTCGAGGAATGCAATTATACTAAGTCTTAAAAACGTTTATTTTGTGGGCCGGAGACCAGAGTTAAAAGTCATCTTTGCTATTTCGAACGAAAACATGCTCATTAAACTTTGCTCAAATGGATAATTCCACATTATTTGATCGTATACGAATTGTTCGCAATTCACCATACGCACTACATTCCAGGGCAGGATAAGTGTTTCACTGTAGGAAGTTCGAAATGATCTACTTTCTCACGAGCATTCTGTCCTCTGCATCAGCAAAAGTCTTCACACACTTCTTGCTCTACAACGAGATCAGCTGTATTCAGAAAAGCGACAGCAATCTTGTTGGACTAATTTACTTAGCATACATCGGAATTGCAAAAGTCCAAATCTGGTGTATGCCAGAATTCTAAGCGCAGTCGTCACAGAAAAAAACATGAAAGTTAGTAATGTAAATTATAATGCCGTACGACAAATTTAGCCATGACGGTTTCGAGACAAGAGGCTAAATAATATTCAGTGAGGTTGCGAGATTTCTTGCACGGTACTAAGATTAAAACAGTAAAAATAAAGTAAAAGTAGCGCACATCTTCAGTCTAGAAAGTGACCTCATTTTCCCTTTTCACCGCCACTACACAATCGGATAGGTGGGCATTCAAGGAGTTTCAGGAGATGCTCAAATGCCTCCGAACATTAACGACTGATACTCTGGCATTTATGTCGTAGATTTTGCCAGATAGAAAATACAGAATTGGCGTACTGCGTTAGCAAAGGTGCTTCATTTGTAAAGAGATCGACACGGGTAGCTGGACCCCCCAGTAACACAGATGATCTTACCCTATAAATGAGCGATAAATATTTCCGTCTTTTAAATTTAATCTTAGCACTACACTTTGCCCTCTGAAAGCCATCACTAACTCTACAATTAGCCCTAACACTGGCTCTGACCTTAACCCTGACCACGCCTGGCATTAAGCGAAAGTTCATTGAAGGAATACATATTCCCATACCCAAGTTCAGTCCGATCGAAAAAGGTAGTGTAAAAACCGCAATTGTTCGTGGATTGCGTCTAATTTCGAACAGTACAGGTTATAGCTGGGGCTTCTGATCTCAAATGAGGCCTCCGTTTAGCTAGTTTTTAGTGCACATTCTGCTAAATGAAGCGTTCAGCTATCGCGAGCTGAAATATAGGGATGAAGTAAATTGAGACTGCTCGGGAAGATTCAGGTTATTTAAATGTTGCTTTCGGGACACCACGATCGATTATGAGACCTCTGGGTCCACGTGCTAGCTTTTCGAGGCATGCTGCCATTAATCATTTATCGAGACACCTTAAATAAGGGCCTAAGTTCAAATAATCCGAGGTACTCATACAGGCAAAAGATCTATGCGAAACGTACCGATGCTAAAACCGCAGCCATAATAATCAATACTGGTTTACCCATAACGTGTGCACCAATATTTAGCTCGTGATATTTTAGGATTAAGCACCGTTCTTAATTTAAAAGAAATAGAAAGAATACGTCTTAAGAATGACAAAAGACTATTTGACCATCAATGAAAAACTTTGCCTTTTATGCGCATGCCTTATGTTCACATTTGTGACTGTGATACCGAGATTTAGAAAATTAGAAGTTTATGGTCTGAATGACTGCCTGAATAAATTTCTTCAAGGAAGCTCCACTGTGGACTCCTTTATGCGCCTTTATCGAAAGTATTGGTTCGTCTTACTGTCAAGATACCCGACTTCACTACATTCTTAAATTTTCTGTTTCATTTGAAACCTACTAAGCTCTATAAAAACTAAAAAAATAATTGTACGTTTTAATAAAATGCGCATATTGAAAAACGTTAACCATAGTGCTTGAGTTAGATGTAATGTTCTGATGTATAAGGAATTAATGCGAGAGGTTTTGTGCATTTAAAAAAATGCTAAATGTTGGCTAATTTTAAGCAATGTCATAATAAATATTTAATATTTGTTTATTTTTAAATGAACAACGAGACTTTTATTTTTGAAATGGGACGGATATACAGCATGGAAAGTCCTGCAAACAACTTTCATGACGAAATTTATCTTGGTAGTTTAGCATATATCTGGACAGGTTATTTTGATCAACTGAGTGGATTAATCATAAGAAGGGCTTTGCTTTGGAAAACTGCTCGCTTAGTTATAGTTATTGAGGGAAATAGGCACTCATTTTGGCTAAGTCATGAGTAGGTTTATATTAAAGAAATTTCTTATGCTATAAGGTACGACAGAACCAAACCTTTTGTTGATATATATTGTGCTGTGGAAGAATTCCATAATTAGTAAAAAAAGGTGGAATAATAATCAACTGGAAAATTTTGTGCGAAGTTGATCAAATGGAAGTGAAGCCAAGTTTAAGGAATCAACTGGAAAGTTTTGTGCGAAATTGATCAAATGGAAGTGAAGCCAAGTTTAAGGAACCGTAGTTATTTTCAGAAACAAGCAAGAATTTAAGTTTTAAAAATTATGTTAAGCTAATATATGAAGTGTTTTTGCACAAAATGCAGTAACAAAGAAACTTCGTCGCGTTTTGTTTAAACCTTACCGCTAACCTTACGCATAAGCAAACTTTGCCATACATGTTACCGCGAAGGGAATTAAAGAAGGCCTTCTTGTACGTAGGTCATGTATAAATATATTTTTGTGTAAACAATTTGTTCCGCTCAAGCGTTATTTAGAAACAACAGACAGAAGAATAATAAGTATTTCAAATAATGGTCATATATGTGGCCTGTTTTTTGCATTCGCAAGCTTATAACGGGTCGTGGAATTAATCCCCTTAAGCGGAAAATAATCCGTTATAAAGAGAAAGGTATTTTCTTTCATCATCAATCAAATTAAATCGTTTATCTTCAGGGAAATTAAAGAAATTGTCAAAAGTCTCCAATTTCCCTGTGACATTACCTTGGAAAAAAGTTAATCGCACAGAAGTTCGTCAGCTGAATATCCGATAAAAGCACTTTTTAAAGAGGTAAACTATAATGGAAAGTTTTTTTATTAATCTTAGGAATAACAATATGCGCGGTATCTAGCAGACATT